GAAAGAAAGAAAGAAAGAAAGAAAGAAAGAAAGAAAGAAAGAAAGAGAAGAAGGAAAAAGAAGAAGGAAAGGAAGGAAGAAGGAAAGAAAGAAACACAAACACACTCTTCACAGACTAGCATGATAGTTTGAGCTTTGTGTCAAAGCCTCTATTCAGCGTTCTCTGAGGGAGGTTCTTACTATAGTTCAGATTTCCGATGTCCCTAAATGCCGGTGTGTTAAAGAGACTTGGTCTCCAGCCTGGAGCACTATTGGCAGGTGATGGGACCTCTACCAGATGAAGACTAGTAAATGGAGGTTAGGTCATTGGGGATAGTGCCCTTAAAGAGAATACTGGGACCTGTAGCCCGTCCCCCTTGGCTTCCTGGTTACCCTGAGATGAGCAGCTTGTACCCCTACAGTGATGTTCTTACCACAGTCCAAAAGCAGCAGAAATAGCTGACCAAGAACAAGAACTTCTAAACTCTGAGCCAAAATAAGTCTTTCTACCTAATAAATTGATTTTCAAGTATCTCATCACAGTGGCAGAACACCAACTAATACAAATGCCACCTCAAAGATCATCCCTCTGAACTGATAAAAATGTTGTTTTTGGGTTTTTTGTTTGTTTGTTTGTTTTTTGTTTGAGACAGCATCTCACTCACAATGTTGCCTAGGTTAGTCTAGAACTCATAGGCTCAAGCCTTCCTTCCACCTCAGCAACTCAAATACTTGCAATAATAGGCTGGTGCCACCATGCTGGCTAGAACAGATAATCAAATGGCAAGTGAGAAAAGAAAATGATATTAGGGTTTTTTTTTTCTAACAAGAACCAGACTCTTAATATCCATGACCACTTCCTATTACTCCCTACAACTGAAAAAATCTTCTCAGGAGACTAGCCAAGCACAGATGTGTCAGGCTGTGGTGGTTTGAATAAGAATGGCCTCCATATGCTCATAAATTTGAAAAGTTAGTCACCAGAGAGTAGCACTATTTAAAAGGATTAGAGGGATTAGGAGGTGTGGCCTTGTTGGAGGAAGTGTGTCATTGAGGGTGAGCTTTGAAGTTTCAAAAGCCCATGTGGAGCCCAGACATCTCTGCCTACAGATCAGTATGTGGCCCTCAGGTACTGCTCCAGTGTCTACCTGCATGCTGACATGCTTCCTGCCATGGTAATGGAATAACCCTCTAAAACTCTAAGCCAGCTCCCATTCAGTGCTTTCTCTGTAAGGGTTGTCTTAGTCTAGGTGTCTCCACAGTAATATAATAGTGACACATGTTCACCTTACGAGCAAGTTGGTGACTTAGAGGAAAGTCTAGAAAGTGGACTTATTAAGTTATGCTCCAAGTTTCTTCACTTTTGTTTAAACAATGGCCATAGTGGCCACAAGGAAAGACACTTTTCTAATCATGGCCCTTCCCTCATGGGCAGACACAGAGCAGAGAAGGGTCATACACTTGGGTCAGAATCTAACAGCAACCTCTTTAAACACTTGACTGAGAAAATCTTCTCTTTCCTCATGATTTGCTCCAGGAAGTCAAGCTATATGGTGAGGAGCTAAGGTAGTTCTTTTCTGTGGGGGTTTGAATGAGAATGGCTCTAATAGACTCATATATTTGAATGTTTGATCTGAAGTTGGTGGAACTGTTTGAGAAGAATTAGGAGGTGTGGCCTTGTTGGAGATGTTGTGTTTTATAAAAATAAAGAGAGAAGAAATATGTTTGGTGGATGTACAATCAGGTGTTGGGGAAGGGGTGCCTCTGCGGGCCCATGCTGAGGCATCCCTTCCCCCTGAGATACCAGCCACACAAAGGTATAGTATAGAATAGTGTTTATTCAGAGCATGGGGGGGGAGGAATTGAGGGAGTAGAGACAGAGAAAGGCAGAGAGAGAGTAGAGGAGTAGAGGCCAGCCATGAGAATGTGGAGAGAGGAGATAGGGGAATGGGGAGAGAGTGAGCAGGAACAAGAAGACAGAGCAAGAGAACATGAGAGAGAGGAGGGGGCAAGGAGCCCCTTTTGTAGTGAGTCAGGAACACCTGGCTGTTGCCAGGTAACTGTGGGGCAGAGCCTAGACTAAATGCCAACAGGAGGAGGTGTGTCATTAGGGGTGGGCTTTGAAGTCTCAAAAGTTTCACCATTTCCCATTAGGTCTCTCTCTGTCTCTCTGCTCCAGCACCATACCTGCCTGTCTGCTGCCATGAGTTCCCACCATAGTGGTGATGGGCTCACTATCTGAAACTGTCAGCCCAAATAAACTCTTTCTTTTTAATATTGGTTCTTGACTCTGGGTTGAGACCCCTTTAGGGGTTAAAAGACCTTTTCACGGGGGTCGCATATAGATATCCTACATATCAGATATTTACATTAGGATTCACAACAGTAGCAAAATTATAGTTATGAAGTAGCAATGAAATAATGTTATGGCTGGGGTGGGGATGGGGAATCACCATGACATGAGGAACTGTATCAAAGGGTCATAGCATTAGGAAGGATGAGAACCACTGTTCTGTAAGCCGCCTTGGTCAGGTCACAGTACTTTGTCATAGCAGTAGAAAAGAAATCAAAATCCCTTCCCTTGCAGCTGAAGAGCCACAGTTACAAGTAAAGTGCAGGCAATGGGGTGAGGAGTGTTTAGAACTGATAGGATGGTGAAGGTAAGATGGCTTCAGTCCAGAATGAAGAGAGAGGTGCATGACGTTTACCCGAAGCTTCAGGTTGACGAAGACTGTCTGGTATTTCCTTGAGAGTGTCTTACTCTCCTACCACAGGTGGTTGTGGTCCACTATGCAAATGAAAATTGCCTGACTCAGGCTGCTGCCAACTCACTCAGCTCTCCTTTAAAGCAGCCTTGGCTCCAGAGCAGTGAGTGCAAAGGGCAGAAGCCATGGCTCCTGGTTTCCACTTCTCCTGGTTGGCTCCTGGTTTCCACTTCTCCTGGTTACTGGTCGTCTGGTTGGTGGTAACTATGGCAGAAGGTAAGAGTCTGAGTTTTTACCTACTATGTGTGGGTTATATAATTAATACCATTTGGGAAAACAGATGTGGCGTCCATGGTTACAGATTTCCGTATGTTGGAAATGTTTATATTTGTTACCATCAACCTGTATGAATGAAATGAAAGGCTGGGTTTGCTCATCTGAAGACCTGGATCCAAGTCTTAGTGTTATCTCTGTGATTTTAGGTTATACTTGAGCATTACATATGATTATGCATTGTTGTGGGGCTGGAGGGGACCGCTGAGCTATATGCAAAAGCCTCATGTTAAAAGCACTACACCAATGCTATTGCTGTTATCACAGTTATTGAGCTAACAGGGTTAACCTGGAATTACAGCATTGTCTGCTTCCTTACATCCCCTGGCAGTTCATGCTGAGTCTCTGTTTATTGCTTTAATCATACCTGATGAGCTGGGGTCTTGGCCCTACAAGGTGAGCAGATTTCTTATTTCTCTCTTGCTCCTATTCTCTCCACCCCCAAACAGAACCTACAGATGCTCTGAGCCTTGACATTGGATTTCAAGTCCCTACCCAAGGAAAGATATGGAAGATAGGAGAAAAGGAAAAAGAAGGAGAACCTGGGGGCCCTGCATCTAGTATTTGTTTTCATAATTGACCTTAATTGGAAAACTAGATGCTGCTCAGTGAGGAAGGATCCAGCGTCTGATAGAGCCTCTCACCTACTCACGTGCCCTGACCTAGGGAAGCTTTTCAAGGAGTTCAGTGAGACTCCATTCAACCTCCAACATTTTCCCTGACATCCTCACACAATGTTTGAGACAGACTGGAGGCAGGGAGAGGCATCAGAACTTGTTGTAGATACCCAGAGATTCCCCTAACCCAGCCTCTCCACAGACTACAGCTATCACAGGGCAGCAGCTCCTCAGTGCCCAAGACAAGGTTATGGATATCTGCTGAAAAAGAGGCCACCTTTTTTCCAGTTTATGGGGTACATGTAGTCACAGAGTAAATTTTGCTGATGTTTCTTGTCTTGTTCTCTCAAGGCTTTGAAAATAGTTAAATAGGTTATAATGAGATTAGAGATTTCAATTATTTATATCTAAAAATATCCTTTGGGGGATGGACATGGTGGTACATGCCTTTGATCCTAGCACTAAGAAGCAGAAGCAGAAAGATATCTGTGAGTTCAAGGCCAGCCTAGTCTACATAGCAAGTTCCAGGATGGACAGCAAGGGTTACATAGTGAGACAATGTCCCCGAACAAACAAGTAAAAATGTCATTTGAAATGTGAGATTTTGTCTCTGAGCTTGGCAGCACAGGTTCTCGGTCATTACTCACTTCTACTTATCTTGGACTGACTGCCCAACAGGGTCCCATGTGCCCCTATGCCCTTTCCCCTCCATGGCAGCAGCTGCTCCTTTCCCTGCTCAGATCTGTTCTCTGCAATTCTGCTTCAAGTAACAGCATTTAAATGCTACTGAAATATCACATTTACAAGTCTTTCTGGAGACACATTATTGTAGAACAGATTGTTTTTCTCTGACATCTTCAGATTGTCACAACAATCTTTACCTCACCTCCAGGGTGTGCTCCATTCCTCTCTGTATTGCAGATCTGTCTGTAGTCTCTTTCCAATCCTTGGAGACAGGCACTGTGTCTTTGTCATCACAGCATTTAATTCAGCATCTGACATGGGATGTGCACACTGTTGAACCAACGTATAGCATCCTGAAAGGGGGCTATAGCACGTTTTCTAGGCTCTAAATTCTTTATCTTTCTAGTGATGGATTTGACAAAAATAGACAATCGTTCTCAGTGTCCACAAAATGAATTAAGTTACAGTTATTATGAGTCAGTTGACCACAGCATTGGTATTTCTTTGTGGTTAAAGTCTGAATGGGCATGGGAATTCTAAGATTCCAGGTGCTCTGTAAGGAAGAATGGTGTGTGTAGACCCAGGCTCACTGCTGTAAAAATCACTACAGTTCTCTACAAAACAGCTCTTGACTGCCCAGATAACCACAGAGTACAGGTAATTATAAAAAGATCTTCTCATCATTACCTCTTTTTTTAAAGAAAGGAGCTAGTTTTGGGATATGTTATAAATTTCACGTCTAGACTATAATAAGCCCATTTAAAATTGATATCCAAACTTCAAACAATATTTTGGCCTGTATTATACAATACTATAATTTTAAATATAAATTATTATTTAAAACATCCTAAGGCAGAAATTAAATTCTCGCTGAGTACCACAAAAACACGGAGAAGAACAGACGGTGTCTGCCTAGTCATTTAGTGATACACCAAGTATTCAGGGATAACACTGCCATCCAGGGAGTGGTCCAGGTGCTGAGGACATCACCAATGGCCAACAGTTATAAAGATAATCTCTCATCTTCATAGAGTTTCTAGACTTATAGTAATGATGTTCTTTAGTCCTATCCTTACCTTGATGCTCAGATCATATACAAAATATAAACAGGAAAACCTAAGAAATGACGCTTGTGGTGCTAAAATCCTTCTATAACACTCACACCCTTAACAGTTAAAAATAACTATAGCTAACTTACTAAATGTGTACTGTGCAAAGGGAAACTTCCAGAACCATTAATATCTTATTTTGGATAATTTCACAAACCCATTGGATGGGTCATATTACTCTTACATCTTACAAATAAGGAAAAAAGCTCAGGGGTGAGGTGATCTACCCATAGTCACAGTGTCAGAAGCAGAACTCAGGGATCCTGCCTCAGGAACATGGCACTGCCCTGCCTCTCCAGGTGTTTTTCAATCGACATTTAAATATGTGACCTACTTTGGTCTTCTTAAGTTTTCAGGATGCTTAGCTTTGATGTACATACAGTGTCTTTGCTCATGTGTCAGTGGGTAATGTATGGGAAATACACGTTAATTTTCACACTATCCTTAATAGGTAGGAACATGGAAACTTTCGAAATTACAGAAATGGAGCTTTCTCTCCACCGATTAATTCTTCCACAGGCCCTGGGTTAGGGCCAGTCTGTCAGACGATAACAGCATGACTCATAAGTCCGATGCTGGTGGGCTGAGGCTGCTATGGAAATTCTTGTAAGTGGCCATTACTCAGCCTCCAGGGAGAGAAGATCTCCCTAAGGAGGTCTGACTTGGGAACTACACAAGAGATCCAGGGCAAGAGGTAGGAAATGAAACTCTAGGCATCAGGAACCAAAATTTAAGCCCAGAAATATTAAGGACCTTTGCCAAAGTAGCATTTTGGGGTAGAGGGGACATCACTTTTTTTTTAACATTTATTTATTTTATGTATTCACCATTGCTCTCTTCAGACACACCAGAAGAGGGCATCAGACCCCATTGCGATGATTGTGAGCCACCATGTGGTTGCTGGGAATTGAACTCAGGACCTCTGGAAGAACAGTCAGTGCTCTTAACCACTGAGCCATCTCCCCAGGCCAACATCACTGTTTAATTGTTTGAATTGGTATATAGTTTACAGCTCTCTTTAACAAAAGAAGAACCTAAAATATTATTGGCTAATTGCCCTAGTTTTCACTCTGAAATGTGACATTAGGTAACCTTAGAGAGGTAGAATTCTTCAAATAAGTCAAGATGAAAATTTTCAAAGCAGTTTGAGGAGAAAACAAAGATAATGATGCTAGGAAGTGAGCAGGAAGAGGTTAACCGTAAAGACAGGTGGGCAGAGTCAACTGAGCAAGGGGAAGAAACCAGATGGCATCAATTCACATGCATGATCTTAACTTTGTCACATGAGACAGATTGCCAAATCAACTCCTATGGCTCCTGCATTTTATTTTTACTTTATATGTAGGGGTGTTTTGCCTGCACACTGCCTATATGCCTGGTGCCCAAGAGGACTAGAAGAGGGTGTTAGATCCCCTAGAACTGAACTGATAGTTGTAAAATACCATGTGTTTGTTGAGAATCAAACCTGAGTCCTCTGGCTGAGTAGCCAGTGCTCTTAACCACTGAGCCATGACTCCCGCTACACTTCTTACATTTTAGAACACTTGTGTTTCTAAGTAGTAACCCAATATAATCGTCATATGTTTAGCTTGCTGGGAAAATATCAAAAAATATTCACATGGTCTTGTTGACTGTCCTGAGTGGGTGATAGAGGCAAGCTGCTTGTGGATTACCAGAAGAGAGTACTAAGCTAAATATCTCAGCCTGGTAGAAAAATCTGCTGCATGCTCTAGCACCACCCACCATGGGATTTAGAGAACAACCTCAGGCGTCAAGAAACAAGATGAACCTAGGTGGCAGGTGGTGGTTGGCATGTTTATAAAGCGGGATAGTTCACAGGATGGCAGAGCTCAAGACCTTGCTGACCCTGACTTGATGGCCAGTTGTCAGGACGGGACTTCCCAGCAAGGCTAACTTTTCTCCTAGTGGCTAGATGCTGGGTATATGAAGTTTCCATGTTACGAAAGTTAGGAATTTATCAGAAAGAATGAGTGCTGTGGGATTTAGTCATCTTCTATAATTTGATGTTTCTTGGCCTAATTTCAGTCATATCATTTCAATATTCAGTAGCCTGGATAAATGTGAGACCGATTACTGACCTTATAAAATGGTTAACTTACAAGTGTGACATTGTATACAACTGCATACAGGTCTGACCACACCCATCCCTAACCCTTCTCTTACCATCCTCCACTATCAACTACCAACCCCTCCCAACTGCTCCCACAAATCTCCATCCCACGTTCACGTCTTGGTTTGTTTTCGCTTTGTGCTTGTTTTGCCGGATGTAACCAAGGCTACCCAAGTGGATGTTGCTGTGAAGGTCTCCACTAGAGCATACGTGGCTCCGTCACTGAAGACAATGACTTCCTCTCCAACAGCCACTGACCAGGACAACCTGGCTAATTATACTAGCTGAATCAGAGAGTGCTGGGTTCAGTGAGAGATCCTAACTCAATAAATTAAGTAGAGGCCAAGTTATAGAGATGCCCAACATCAATCTCTGGTCTCCACACACATATATACATAATCATGCACACATATAAGTGAACATGCATACACATACCATCTGGAGGAGGAGGAGGAGGGGAAGGAAGGCTGCTTCCCATACCATTACATGGAGACTGACCTATCCATCAAAATTCAACTGGCCAAAAAGTCACACATCAGCCACTGTCTTACCCCTCCTACTAACATCTGCCATTGTGTCTTCATAACAATTCTCAAGTGAGAATCTAATTCCTCAGTGACTAGCTAGTGACTATGTTGAGTATCTATCAACAGCCCAATCAGCCACAGCCAGGTGTTCAAAGCTGACATTTCTAAAAGTCGTGGATTTAAAATGGAACTCAGGTCTCTGGTAGCTAGACAATCATATCCAATGTAGCCAAGAAATTCAAATCAACTCTCCAGGAAGAGGAAGACCTGGGTTTTTGTTTGGTTGGTTGGTTTGGTTTGGTTTGGGTTGTGTTGTGTTGTGTTGGGTTTGGGTTTTTAATTCACCAGAACACTCGGCTTCCTGGAGGATGTTCACATTTCCACAGTTCTACACAGGAATTCTGCACTATTCTGTCCACTGGACATCTGACCAGTCTTCTCCTGTCTAGATTGATATGTTCTAGGCTGAAGAACTCTGCACAGCAGAACTTGCTTTTGCAATTGGGTGATTCAGGCACGAGAAGAACTGACACTTGGCTACATCCAAATTTCTTTTCAAACCCAAGATGTGAGCACTGGTCTTAAGCATTGTTTTCTTTATTTTTTATTTTCTTGGTAATAAATAAATTCTGTTCTATTTCAGTGAGTCAAATCATATTTTAAAAAAACAAACCTCAATCTTAAAGGTATAGCTTCACCATATTTTATACTGGTATTCATATGTGTATGTATGTTACATATATCCAAATCTACTTAATGAGTACTGAGATCAAGGTGTAGAACATTTCTAAAGAGTTTCTTGGTTAATTCCTCCATGAAATCACATTTGTCTTGACCCTGGTTCTGACTTATTTTTTAATCTTAGCTCCATTTTGCTTATTCACGAACTTTGTATAAATGAACTCTTACAATGTATCCTTTTTGTATCTAATTTCCTTTGTTTATTGTAGCATGGATTCATCTGGGTTTCTAGGTATTGGCTGTTTTTGATTTTCACTCCCAGGGACTCTTTCACTATATGAACATGGTTTATTTAGCTGTTTCACTGTATGAATAACATGGTTTATTTAGCTATTCTCCTATTGATGGGCATTTGGATTGTTTAGGCTACTGTGACCATGCTTGAACTAGTATTTTTGATAAATACATATTTATTTCTTTTAGATCAGTTCTCCAGACAGAAATGTAGATCATTAGCTGTGTCATCTTCTTAGACCACTGTGGTTCAGACATCCTTTGAAATGTCTCTGTTTGATTCTTATCTCTCTCCAAGCCTCACCCTGAGGGATCTAACTAACTTTTGCTTCTGCTGCTAGGTCCATATCCTGACCTACATTTTCATTTCCACAGGACAAGATGTAGTCACCCCTCCTAGAGGCTCACAAAATAACATGAACCCTACAGACTGCCAGATCTTCACACTCACGCCTCCGCCCACCACAAGGAATCCAGTAACAAGGGCCCAGCCCATCACAAGGACACCCATGGTTTATTTTCCACCAAGGTGGCCCAGCTTCTACCCAAGGTTCCCCAACACACCTTTCCTCCTTCCAAACAACCGTCGCTTCCAGTTTTGGCCTTTCTACCCACCACGAGGTAGACTGATTCCTTGGAGATTCTTCCTTAGAAGACAGCTCCAGAACAGAAGCTCATCTGAGGAGAGCACAGAGAAATGAGAAGCCCAAACATGCTGAAGCAAAAGAATAGACACCTCTGGAAAAAGTGACGAAACTGTTTGTTTCTCTCTCTAATCTAAAAATCACTGCATTGGAAGAATAAGTATCGTCAGTGACAGTGATGAGATTTTGTTTTGTTTTGTTTTTGGTCAACAATAAGAAGTTTGGATTATACATTTTTGCTTACAAAATCCGGCAGTAACGGCATCAGTATTATCCCACAGGATATTAGTGCAAATAAAGTCTTTAAATGGGCTGTCCTAACAATTTGTATCCATACTTAGACACCAGCAGTATTAGTTAACCCCCACTTCCAAATTAGAGTGAAGGAGAAAGACCATTATGAAGCAAATGCAGCCATTAATGACACTCTTCGTACTCAATGGGAATCTTAGAGAGCAGGTGGAGCTACAAAGTATACTTTAAAATAAACTATAAAGATGAAAGGGAAAAGCCTTCTAGAGAAACTGGCTCTATGTAATGTCATTTTACTTGGAACTATCCAACTCAAAATATCCTAATCTACTTTTGATATTACTATTTGCTCATATTAATTAGACAAATACGTCACTATTTCTTCTGTGATTGTCACATAGACACATGCTTTTCTTCAAACTTTCAACATGGTTCCAATCAAAAACCAGGCTTTAAAACTACCTGGACGTTAGTTGGCTCCAGCTCAACTGTGGGGGCCTCGTGCTCTCGAGGAACAAGAAACAAGGCCTTGTCTATTTGGCCTCTCTAGCACACCCTGTCTCTTGCTTGTGCCTACTCACTTTGCAGTGACATGGGAACCTGGGTTCTGTGTGCATGACCAGTGACTTCTACTCATTCTCAAGAATTAAGTGCAAATGCTGCTGCTGTCGCTACAACAAAGAAAGAAATAAAAATCAGAATAACACAAATGCATGAGTGTTCTGGGAATGGACACCCAGGAAAAGAAGACAGATTGTCATGCCAGCATGCTTCTTCACCGTGTCAAACAATAAAGGAAAACAATTAAGTCACGGTAACCAGTAGTGTAAGAAGGGATACTTCTTTCAAATTTAGAGGCTTATGTTAAAGCCTATTTGAATCCTGAAAATACATTTTGAAATGAACTTTACACATTCTCTGTTTGTTTGGGGGAAGGAAAAACAAACCAGAAAAAGACCACTCTTGGGCATATATGAGGAAAGATATTTGGATTTTAATCTCATTTCACTCCCTGGCTCCTTACAGTACACCTATATGCTTGGCAGTCTCACAGAACCTCACTGTCTCAAACCAACCCTAGGTTTGACTGTGGCATTTTATTTCCAAACCTTAGAACTTTTGCTATTAAAAAAAAAAAGTTAATAGTTCTAGGCCTGTGAGAAATGCCCTAACAGGTCACAAGCTTGGTGACTTAAGTTTGAGCACACAGAACCCACAGAAGGTGGTGGAAAGAACTGGCTACACAGTTGTCTTCTCACCTATGCACTCACACCTTGGCACAGGTACCTCTCCCTATGGACCCCTCTCGCACACAATAATAAATACACGTTTAAAATTGAAGTCTAGGCCCTTACAAGGCTGTGTTGGGTGGTGTGTAAACCTCAGATTACATAGTAATGATGGATGGTGGGTTTGGTGTATCAATCACTGTGTCTATTGCTGAAAGCTGGCCAATTCTTCAGGGTTTTACGGGAACTTCTTTAGATAACTTGGGATAACACCACCCCACTCCCTTTAATGAATGGGTAAAGACGCCTCTATGCTAGGCAGCACACACAATAAAAACATTGAGCTTTTGTGACTCAAACACATTTCTACCATTCCTCTGGCTTCATGAATTTTGCTTCTAAAATATGGGGACTCCTAACAAGTGTGTTGAGTTGGGGTGTCTTCAGCCACCGATGCCTCCCGGGGAACTAGTTTCTCCAGGACGTTCAATGTGTTGTGCATTCCTTTTAACATGGAGCTGGTTTTGAAGCAGAGGGGTCTTTCAGCGAGATATGATCATTCTTTAGTGTATTTTTGGCTTTGAGGTGTAAATAACCAGGTAAGTCTAAAGTTCTAATTATGTCCTATACATATAAACTCAATTTAATCCTACAACAAACTCAAAATGAGGGACGTTCTCAAAACTAACATCTTCAAAGATGCTGACGCCATGACAGGAGAAAGTTAAAGATGAACGTGCAGAGCCGGATAATGTAGTGTGTGATGCCTACAGTGCCTGAAATGGGAAGGCTGGTGGTGGAGTGAGGGGTTGGGGTAGGGGGTGGAGCAGGTGGAGGAGTGGGGGTGGAGGGTAAGGTGGGTGGCCATAAATGACTCAGACGACTGAAAAACTTGAAATATGAACAATGTATTTACTAATGCTGTTATGCCAGTTTAGTTTCTGAATTTGCAATTCTGGAAGAGAATATCATGTTCTTAGAAAAGAGATTCTGGGACATTTGAAGAAGAATGAGAGCCTAATTTCAAGAATTCAGTCTCAGATCATTCAAGGAAAAAAATGGACTTGATAAATGAGCAATAGCTAGCTAGGTAGGTAGGTAGGTAGGGGTAGGTAGGTAGGTAGGTAGATAATAAAATGTTTTTACAGTTGATATACCTGAAAGTAAAGGCCATATGGAAATTCTTGCTGTTCTTCTATAGTGTGACATCATTTCAAAATGATAATTTAGAAGCATTCTTAAAAACAATGCAGAAAGACTGGATAGATGGCTCAGCAGTTAAGCATACACAGTAGTGACCTGAATTTGCTTCCTAGCACCCTGGTCAGGCCGCTCACAACCACTTGTAACTCCACTTTCAGGATATCTAATGTCCTCTTCCAGACCCCAAAGTCTCCAGCATTCACATGTACACATACATACAAGAACACACATACACACATAATTAAAAATAAAAAAAAAATCTTAAAAAAAAAACACAGAATTCACTCATATTTATCCTTGCCTTAAAGAGAAGTTAAAAAATAAAACCTCACCCCCACAGACCTCACTGCCAACTGCTTAATGACTCCCACATTGTGAGAGTTCTGAGCATCTAGACCAGTGGTCCTCAACCTTCCTACCACTGCAACCCTTCTCCCAAGCATAATTGTTTCTACCTCACAACTGTAATTTTGCTACTGTTGTGAATTGTCATATAAATATCTGAAATGCAGAATATCTAATATGTGACCCCTGTGAAAGGGTCATTTGACCCACACACGCAAATGGGTCGTGACCCACAGGTTGAGAACAGCTTGTCTAGATTGCCTGACATGGGACATGGTGAGCATTTATGTCTAGAGAAGCTACTTTTTAACTGGGGAAAGGGAAGGTTTTCCTGGAGGCACTGTCCTCTAAGGGAAAAGGAAGGGGTGTGAGATCATATCCACCTGTAACCACCAACAGCAGCCAGGCCCTTGGGTTGCGTTTGAGCTTCTGTTGTTGGTGAGGAACAATAGACATGGGGAAAATATCTTGAGACTTTGGAACCTCTGACCATAACAGAGCTGCTTGGGGGCCAAGAGGACGAAAGATGACACAGATTTGAGAGGGGGGGATTATCGCCATCTCTGCACAGAAGTCATTCTTGCTTGTATCCTTCCGAGACAAAATACAGCAACATTTATATCTAGGAAACTGCTCAGTCTCATGCTGGACACTGGCTTCATCACAAAGAGGGAAGCCACCTCAGCAGGGGAAAAGAAAAATGTTATAGGCTGCAGGGACCAAGAAGAAGCAGGCATCTAGGCTGGAGGAAGGATGTGTATAGTCTGAGACTGTCTGCTACTAAATAACTGGTTTGTAACACACCGAAGCCACACATACACACACACACACACACACACACACACACAGAGAGAGAGAGAGAGAGAGAGACAGAGACAGAGACAGAGACAGAGACAGAGACAGAGACAGACAGAGAGACAGAGGGACAGAGTGGCAGACAGAGAGAGGAGTGTGTGTGTGTGTTTAGGGGTACATATACAGCACTCATGTGGAGTCACAGAACCGCCTGTAGGAATCTCCTCCTCCCATGTGAATCACAGGAATCTAACTCAGGCTGTCAGGTTTGGTGGCAGGCCCTTACCTTTTGACCCATCTGATGACCCCCACCCCCTCAGCTACTTCCTCTGGAAGGGCAATCAATCAGTGCTCTTAACCACTGAGCCATCTCTCCAGCTCATCAATGGAGGTTGGTTGTTTTTTTTTTAATTTTATTTTAAATTTCTACAATATAAAGGAAATCATCGTATGCACATTAATTGTAGTGATAGCTTTTCCTTATCAAATAAGCATCTGACTACTCCACTGACCAGCAGTTAGCAAGAATAGACTAAGTAGAAGTCCCCTAACATAGTCTTAGTGTGTACCAATATCATCTCCCTTCCCTGACAGGTATGGTGGTGCACACCTTTTATCCCAGTGCCTGGGAGGCAGAAGCAGGCAGATCTCTGTGAGTTCAGATGAGTTGCCTCTGGATAACAATTTCAGGCCAGACAGAGAGTCTCTGCCTCAAGAATGAAAGAAAGAAAGAAAGAAAGAAAGAAAGAAAGAAAGAAAGAAAGAAAGAAAGAAAGAAAGAG